TATTTATTTAAATAGCAGCATATGCTGTTTTTAAGTTTTGGAGAAATTCTTTTTAGCAATGAGGGCAGAGAAAAAATGTCTATTTAAATCCGAGCAACACCCACATGATGACGTAACTGTTTTCATTCAATATTTTTGGCCAAGAAGACCAGCAAACGGAAAACAGATACATATACAAATATTTATTATTTATATATATTGTGCATAAAACATATACATACATATGTCTTTCAATTGAGGATAACATTGTTATGGCCAAAATACTAAAACAACTTGCTAAATATGATAAACAAAATCATGGCCAAATGGATAACATATGTAATGCGTATAAATACAACGGATTTTTCATAATTCCAGTGTTTTCTAAAAAATATATATATATTTATTTATTTCTATATACACATATTTTTATGTGTGCACAAGTTTGAATTCGAGCTGGAGCTCAAACAAGTGCAAAATCTTGTTAACAAAATTGCGACCATATTTGGTGAAAATTGAACAAAAATTATGGAAACTTTAAGCATCGGCCTAGACGACTTGCGACATACAACTGCAACAACAAGCTGTAAGCGGAAAATGAAAAAATATTTGCGGATCGCCAACTGGCGTACATCGATTGATGACTCAATTGTCGCCGTGTTGACATCGACGTCGATGTCTATGCTCCTTGTGAACTGGTTCGGCTTTGGTACTAAAAGGAAATCTTTACATCGAGCCACTTGCCTTGCCTTGCCTGGTCGGCTGCATAACGGCCAAGGTGAACCACAGACAGCGCTGTTCGTTTCATATCAAATGTCGTGGCGTGCATGTGAGAAACTTTTTGGCGCTCTTATAGCGACGTCAGTGTCAATTAGTTTTTGAATACGTATGTGCAGAAACAATTGTTCTAGACCTTGAACTTAACGCCAAATCGTATGTAAATAAAGAACTGCAACAAACATGAAATTTATTGTTAGCCGGAAAACAATTGGGCATTCGTAAGTTTGCTAGACAATTAAACAATTTGGCAGTTGACATCAAGGGCATGCGAAAATTTAAATTGCGCTATTTTTATATAAATTCAAGTAACAGCTGCGAATTTGTTATATCAGTTCAGAAATTCTAATGATAGTGCACAATTTTAGCAGTCAAATGAAAACTAAAGTCCGCCAGACCCGATAGGTCATTACGATAGTGTCATCGATGTGTTGATATCGATAAGAGTACATAATTCTGCGGACTATTGTCAGCCCTGGCTAGATCTTGTGTTATAATTTCATAACAATAACATCAACATGTCTTTTACACAAAAGTTGAATAATTACACCAAACGAAAGTCCTTTAAATATGGCGTTCCCTTTCTAATTATGATAGTAGGCGGTTCTTTTGGACTACAGCAGTTTTCAAATCTAAGGTAAAGTGATTAAAGCTAATCTTACTAGGAACCCACATGATAACGTATTTTTGTTACCTTCCAGATATCAGTACTCCAAGATGCAACCAGTAACACCGGAAGAAATGAAGAAATTTGGTGTGACCATGAAGAAACGTCAAGAAGTGACTCTTGAATCTGAATATGATAAGGTAAAAGGCATAGATATTGAGAATTGGTCAAACAAGCGCGGTCCACGTCCGTGGGAAGAGGAAGGATTGGCGACGACAACATCTTCTCCTGCGGCAAAGCAGTAAATGTTAAATATATATGTGTATATATAAATATGTATATGTATAAATATATATGTATATGTATATATGTGATGTAGGCTTTAACGTTCATTAAATATTGTAAATAAATGCATTCATAATACAATGCAATAAATTGTCGATTATTGTTTATTTTTTGCACCCCTAAATTATCGGCGATGCATATATGTATGAAGGTATATATTTTGGGGCTGCCAACCTGATCTAATCAGCTGCGACGCTTTGGCATATATTTTCAATAAAAACAATGGGAGAAGTTAAACCCGTAAAAATGGACAACTGGACGCCATCTGACTCCACGACATTATTTGCCGACGGTAAGGCGACAAAATGTGGCAAAGAGCTCCATGTTTAATTTTATTAACTTGTTTTCTAGGGGAGCGTGTGCTTTGCTTTCACGGGCCGCTTATCTATGAAGCCAAAGTACTCAAAACAAAACCGGAAAGTTCGCCGGTTGAATATTATATACATTATGCGGGCTGGAGCAAAAAGTAAATATGTTTGAAATGTAACGTGATACATATGTAATTCAATTTAATTTTTCTATGATACGCAGCTGGGATGAGTGGGTGCCAGAGAGTCGTGTGCTGAAATACAATGACGACAACGTAAAGCGCCAAAAGGAGCTCGCACGACTGTACGTTGAACGCTCGAAGAAGGACAATAAAAAAGGTATAAGGTAACCTGCCAGAATTTTGATTATATGCTAAACATTGAAATGTGTTGTAGGCAGTGCAAAGGCTAAAAAAATGGAGCATGTAGGCAATGAATCCCGTGCATCAACACCCTCTAAGGACAGCAGCCAATCTCAGCCATCAACAGGCTCCAGCAGCGCCACAACCAGCACACCCATCGCTGCCGCACAATCAAAGACCAAAAATGATGGCAGCAATAGCAGCAGCAGTAGCGCAACCACAAGCAACAACACCTCCACTACGACCACAACTAGTCGAAGCAACCGCAAGTCCACACAATCCGCTACAGCTGCAGCGCGTCCAAGCACACCGAGTGCTGACAAAAAAGAGGATGCAACAGCTGCTGATAATACAGAAGACGAGGCCGCTACGCCCACAGCGCCGCCGCCGCCTAAAGCCAAACGCATGAGCTCCCAAAATAGCAATAGCGAACAACGTTCATCTCTAAGTGGCAATGGAGTAGACGCCGCCACAGCACAGCAGTCAACAACAACAGCTGCAACAGCAACAACAACGACAACAACATCAACGCCAACAGCATCAACTACAACAACAACAGTTGCTGATGCACCGTGCGTGGAGAGCGAGGAGACCTACACGGCAAAGCTGGAAGTAAAAATAAAGATACCCGATGAGCTGAAGCACTATCTGACCGATGATTGGTATGCGATAGTGCGTGAGCACAAGCTCTTGGAGCTGCCGGCCAAGGTGACAGTGCAGCAGATCGCAGATCAGTATTTGGCGCACAAGAAGTCGGTGAAGTCGACCAGTGCCAGCAAAGAGGTAGCCATTAATGATGTCCTCGATGGCATTATTGAGTATTTCAATGTGATGCTTGGCTCTCAGCTGCTGTATAAGTTCGAGCGCACCCAGTATGCGGACATAATGCAAAAGAATCCGGATACGCCGCTATCCGAACTGTATGGCTCTTTTCATCTGCTGCGGCTGTTTGTGCGACTTGGCTCGATGTTGAGCTACTCGGCCTTGGATCAACCGGCAATGCAAACCTTGTTGGCGCACTTGCATGATTTCCTCAAGTTTCTGGTGAAGAACAGCGCCATGTACTTTAACATGTCAAACTTCATCAATGTCGATCCGGAATATGTGCGCAATGCTCAGTAGACATTTAGCTAGATAAACCTCTTAAGCAGCTCTCTTTAATTTGTTCCTGATTTGAATTAGAGTGTTGCTTCTCACAACTGGTTTGTAATATAACAAGAAAATCACCCATGTAGAATTTGTATAAACAAATAAATCGTCTTCGGCCTCTTGTAAAAATAATATACAAATTTATTTTATCTAATCTTCGTTTTCCTCTGCGCTTTCGCTACTACTGCTGCTTGTGGGATAAAACTCCTTCAGATCCCGTGGCTTGTCACGCTCTTTTTGCTCTGCGTCAAGGTATTCCTGCTGCACCTTTAATATTTCGTCACTGCTCTTACACGCTGCATACGCATTGAGGAGCTTCTCGTTTAACTCGAGGAATGCATGACCCCAAGAGAATTTGCCCATAAACCATCGCGCCTCTTCTGTGAATCCGCATATATAGAGAGTCGCTGCAATCGCCTCCACACAGCTCAGCTTGCAGGGTTTTCCATAGTTGATAGGATTGGCGGCCACCAAAAACGGCAGCAAACGAGGATGGGGACTACGCATTCTGTTGAAGGGCGTCTCATCCAGCTTCGCCCAGGAACAGTCGATAACTGCTACTCCAGAAGTAGACACGATTTCTCGATCCTGTGGACTAACACATAGTTGACCGACAGGTGAAAGGACGAGCCCAGGAAACTTTTGACCCAAGCGCAGATTAGAAATAAGTCCAAGACGTGCTAGTTTTCTACCGGAACACTTTTTCGGATCACAGTGATTGAGGTCCCACATGGATACGGCGAATTCTGGTGCATGTCCAAGTCCATCCAAGTTGTCACCTGACGAATCGGATTCCGATTCGGAGCTATCTGTGGCATTGGAAGTAGCCAGTTCATTGGCCTGTTGGGCAAAGTTCCGTTCGCAATTGTGATTTGACTTGACGTTGCGATAAGAGCTTCCGCCAGCACCTCGCCTGGATTTACCTCTATGCCGAGCACTCATTTTGTTTCGATTCAATTAAAAATTATTTTTATTTATATACAATTTTTTTCGTGCTGCCTTGGCAGCAACCGTTTTTGATCGATTTCGATAAATTAGCCGCATGGTAGATGTTGGCGCCCAGTAATTTTTTAAAAACAAAAGATTTTCAATTTTTTGCCTATTTTATTACTAAGGACTTTCACCATATGTTTTATCTACTTAAAAAGTGTATGATTACAAGGAATATATAGCCAATTTTTCATCCAACATTATTATTTTACTGGCTAAACCATATTTTTAATCGATTTTATGGAAATTATCGTTAGTGTGGCGGTGGCGTGCAGAAAAATGTGGATTTTCAATAAGGTCACTCTGACGCCATCTTTTTTGTTAAACGGGAAAAATTAAAAATTTGTCCGGTAAAATCAGTGTGCAATAAAAAACAAATGTATGTTAATACGTAAATATGGTTTTAAATGCTTAAAAATATTCGCGGAAAGCATGTACATATATTTCAAAGTACAATTTGCATAATGATGATATAGTTGGCTCTAGCGATAACGATTGTGTCTGCATATAAACGTTTTGTATGAGAAAAGTAAAACGAACATAGCGCCAATTTGATAAACACTAACATTAATTAAAGAATATCAAACCATTGTATATACATTTAAAGTAATTTGTGTTGGATTGTGTAAAGAAGGCTATGGGCATTGCATTTCATATACAGATTACAATTATATATATGTGGCATACATACTAGGGTTGAGAGCGTGACTTCCGTGGATGAATACAAGCAAGGCATGTTAATGCTTATTCTGTTATGCCAAATTTAATGTTAGGGTATATTTCTTATTCCATATGATGCTAATTTGAAAAGTCGTAAAATAACTAAAGTTTGCTTAAAAATATTTAATATTATTTGCCAAAAGTTTTTCATTCGTGATAAATTGACACGCGCTCATCTCTAGCATTTACACATACACACACAGATACAAAACATATCGGAGCTGCATTGCCGCGCCACGGGCAGTTAATATGATTGTTGAAAATCAATCGACGCCCGTGATGTTCGTTTTAGTTGTGCGGAAAATCTTACAAAAATAATAATTTCACTCATTAATTGAAAAATTCTTATAATTTTTTGCATTCCATGTCACTCCGCTCTCCTGCAACCGTGTCTAAAATTCAATTTTCCTGCCCCCACCGGAGTACAGTTGCGCCAGCCGCACGCTAGGAAAGCCAAACAACGACAATTGTAGACATCGCGACGGGGAGGCCGCGTTTCAAAAATAAAGCATTTTTAACTTTACAAATTTTCCAACAAGATGGGTGAAGTGAAGTCCGTGAAAGTGGACAACTGGGGCGTCTTCTTTCTGCAAAAGCTCCAGAATTTCTTCAATAAAACGGACTATTGCGATTTGACGCTGCAGTTTCGCGACAATTCACAGTTGAAAGTGCATCGCCTAGTTTTAAGTGCTTGCACCGATTATTTTAATGTGCTGGAACAGACTTGCGACATAATAGACGACGCACTCATAATGCCGAGCGAATTTCAAGCAGATGTCGTTGTGCCCATCGTCAATTTCATGTACACGGGCACACTTGAGTTTGAGCTTAAAATGTATGGCAAACTGTTGCGCACCGCCAAAGAGATGAATATGACCGTGTTGCTGAAGCTATTGGAGGCCCATCGCCGCACTATGGAGAATGTGAATCGGCAGCAAAGAGTGAGATTTACAATTATCTATCAATTACCATAAATGGTAAACTAATTATTTCATATCTATTAACAGCCTCCCAGTCCGAAGGGCATACGACGTCGTCCTATGGTACCCAGCAGCAATACCACGGCCGCCCAGCAACGTGTGTCCATTTCAACACCACCAAATCGCATTGGTTCCAGTCCGGGAAACAGTAACACGGGACGTACGAATGTGCAACAATCCCGTGCTGTAAATACCCCCGCAATCTTGCGATCCGGCGGCATCAGCAATCGTACACAATATGGGGAGACAACATCCACAAGCTCCTATGCCAAACAGGAGCCCACTTCGCCGTTCGAACAGCTACGCAAGGGTTACAACAAYAACAAGAGACCGGCACAAACGAGCCTCTTGTCACCGCCGTCAAAGAAACCCAGCCTGGAGGAGGTCAAAGAATTTGCTGAACAGCAGCGCATGCGCAAACAAATTGCCGCCGAATATGGTGACCATGGCGATCCAGAATACGATAGCAGTATGCTTTATGATGATGTGCACACTGGCGATGATGATGACGATGATATGCCTCCACAGCCATCGACGTCTAAGCAGCAACAACAGCAGACCCAGCAACAGTCCGGAGGAACGCAAACCCAAATGGAACATGGCACAACAACCATCATTCTGAAGCAGGATTCCCCCAGCCAAACGCCCACTATTATTGTCAAAGATTCGTCGAACACCAAGCTGAATCATACTAAAATAATAGCCGAGGTGCTTCGTCAATATCCGCACATTGTCAAGGGTCACAAGAACATAAAGCTGAAAATATTACCCAATAGTCCGGTCGAGAAAGCAGCTACAACAGCTAAACGAGCATCGCCGGCACCAGTTGGATCACCAGCCGGTCCCACATCGCCACACAAGAAGCTGCACGTTTCATTCAAACCAGACAAACCAATGATAACCACACAGCAGCAGCAGCAAAAGTCCACTCAGAAATTGACGACGGCTCAGCCAGCATCAGTTGAGGCAGCACCACAGCCAGTCGCGTCGGTAGCGGCCACCTCCACCACGACCACTGCATCAACAACAGGGCAAAAGCGGCGTATTGATAGCAAGACGATGCATGCGTTAATAGCACAGGGCGCCGAGAACACAACAGGTGAGCACATAACGGGTCAGGGTTTATTAACTTTTATATGATCGACAAGACGAACAGGAAAGATGATCTGAAAGGCCCTGCAAATTATTCTCTTAATTGTTAATTTAACAAAAAGTCCAACGAGTTGTGATATAATTAACTTGTGATATTACAAACGTTATTGAATATTTTCCCCATATTATTACACAATATATCGAGAATAGTAAATTAAAATACCATACAAATTTTACTTAGATATTGTTACTAAATAGGCAGATATTAGTATTTTTCTTTAGAGATAAAACATATTATTATTTATTTATTAATACTGAACTGTCTTTGCTTGCAGGTCCGTGGTTGTGTCTGCGTTGCGGCGTTAATGGACGGCCAATAAGCATTCCATCATATCGTGGCTTCCGTCGCCATTTGATCAATACCCATAAGGAGACAATAGATCCGGCGCTATGTGAGCATTGTGGCTGGCGATCTGCGAACAATCGGGAATTGCATTTCCACATGTACACAGAGCATCAAATTAAATCGCTGCTCTACAACTTCGCGGAGTGCGTCCTGTGCAACCAAACTTACTTGACCAAGAACGAGCTGGAGCAGCACATCAACGAGGCGCACACGGATGAAAATAAGCAACAGTGCATTTATTGTTGCAAGGTGTTTGCCCAGGAGCTGCAGCTGTATAGGCATATGAAGAACTATCACAAGGCACAGGCACTGGAGGATGGCATCATTGATGAGACCGATGAGGAGTACCTGGGCTCGCAGGACGAAGACGGGCAGATGGAAGATGAGGAGCAGGAGCAGGAGGAGGAGGAAGTGGAAGAGGAACCAATGCAGGAGCAAAAGGTACGCATTTTATCCGACATCAGCTTGCCAGCGACCAGTGCCATTGTACAGCAACAGACCCGCGAAGAGCCCGATGAAGGGAACGTAACAGAGGAGGAGCAACTCATGCAGTCGCCAAATCCAGAGCAGGAAGTCAAGTTTGTCGGCGCCGATGGCAATGAGGTCGAGTTGACTGACGAACAGCGCAAGGAGATATTGTCCCAGCTGAATCAGCAACAGGCCGGCGCACCCAGCGGGGGTGTTGTCATGGTGCTCAGTGAGCCAGAAGTGGATGCAAAGCAGGAAAGCGATGCGAAATCCTTAACAGGCACCGAAGAGGAATATGATGACAGTCAAATTTATAGTGAGCTAGCCGCCACCGGGTCTGTGGAGAGTAGCAGCAAAAAGAGCGAAGTGGCCGATGAGAGTAAGGAGTCCATGGATAATCTGGAATGGGCCGAGAATTTAATATCAAAGCATGACTTGGAAACAGATCAGAACAGCAAAGAAGTAAGTGAAGTAATAATATTAAACACAAGCTCTAATTACCAATTTCTTTACAACAGCCAAAGGCAGAAAAGGGCCGCGATGACATTAGTGAAAAGCTTAAAGAGCTGACGGGCGAATGGACCGAGGATGAGAATGAGGACGAGGAGGATATAGATGATAAGCCTGCGACCTCAGAGCATCTAGCATCTATTGTACAGACAGAATCAAACACTGTGAAGCAGGAGGCGGCATCGACAGTTGCTGAGGCAGCCGAAGAAGAACCAGAGCCGGAAGATGACATTGATTTGGCGCTGGAAAGCTTGCACAAGGGTGGTGGCGAGACAGAGGAGACAGAGGCCGTGGCCAAGGAAACGGCAGCTGCCACCACCAGCAGCGCAACTGAAATAAGTCAAGGTGAACCAGAAGCAGCGAACAAAGTAGTAGCAGATGAGTTGCAGCAGCCTGTTAAGGAGGAAGATGACGATAAGAAAGAACGTGAGCCTGAGGAGGAATTCATTAAGGAGGATGCGCCAACATCAATAGGTGCCGATGCCGAAACCGATGATATCATTAATGAAAGCATTGAAGAAAGTTCTGCACCTACAGTCGCCGCCTCTGGTATTGATGATGTCAACTTGGAGACAGAAAATATTCGGAAAGTGTTGATTGACGAATTGATTGCTGAAGCAGGAGCGCCTGGAGCCGATGTTGATGTGGATGCCGACACAGTTACTGGTGAACAACAAGAATTGACCGAAGTGTCGCCTACTCAGCTAGCTGAAGTAGATGGATCCGATCAGACACTGCAAGCTGATGCGACCAAACCTGTTGAGGCTGTAGATGAAGCATTAGAAAATAATAATGAAAAAAAAGCTGAACAGACAACAACAACAACAGTGGTAGAATCAGCTGCTGCCACAGAGGAGAAACCAAACACCAGCGATGCAGTTGCAGTCGATGGTAAAGATGAGGCACTGACAGCAGGTACACAAGAGAAATTGAAAAGTCTCATGAATGAGTGGGTGGAYGATGATGATGATAATGAGGACGAGAATGGGGTTACTGCTGCGACGAAGGAGCAACTCTAATTACTAGATTTATTTATGTTTTAAGTTCGTTTTCATATGCCAGTGCTACGATTTAAACAGCTGCATAACATGGATTCAGCATGGAGATCGTGGTTTATATGCACATTTATATGTGAATGTCATGATCAATGGATAGCTTTGGCAAGAGAATTTTGGTTTCGATTGTAAATTTAAAACTGTTTCAATGGTACTTCTTCTTGAGACATATTTCTAATTGCACCAGATTTCCGCAACTTATAGAAAATAGGAACAAAAATAAAATATATAATATATTTTACGCATGTGAAGCACATAGAAACAAACTAAATCAATTTGCGTATTTGATAGACAAACCAATCGAGTACCAAGCAATTAGTTTCTCCTGCGTTTTACCACCAACAATTCAACTTCAATTATACACCCATACATATATAAATATATTTATACGTCTACATATAAAGTTTGTCTACATATATCTGGAAAATATTACATACATAAATGTGTATTTATATAGATGTTGTTTTAATTGGTTTAAAACAAAATTATAAAGGCAAAGCAAATGTGTATGCAATTACATTAAATCGCTTAGCAAGAGGATGTTTTATGATTGATATACATAAATACCTAGTAATACAAATCAAACAACCATTTGAAACCGTTTTTTTTATTTACAACTACATTTAAGGTTGATAAAATGAAAAAATCATAGAAACTTTGGAGAAAGCCACAACAAATATAAATGTAGATATAAAGAATATTTGTCTTTTATTTATTTGCAGCTAAGCAAAAATCACAGACTCATAAGAATGTTAAAAAAAAAAGTTATATTATATAAAATAGCACACGTCTATGTTGTACAAAACATTTCAATTGGCTGAGACACTTAATAATACATTAAACATTAAAGCATTTTGCAATACAAATTTCTGATACAAATACAAGATAAAAAAAAAACGGGCCAGTGCCCAATGAGATTCTCAGTCGTCTAGAATAGAAATGTACATGTAAATAAATATTTGATGCGTAAATGCTAAAACTGATTATTTCGGTATGACGTACCAGCGAGATAATAATTAATTATGCACATTGTCGCAAAGCCAGCAACAACTGTAGTGAATTGCGCAAATCCCGCCCAGCGACGAATCGAGTTCGTATGCCATCTTGCCTTCTCACGCGGAATCACCTCACACACGGTCACATAAAAGAGAGTGCCGCCAGCCAATGCTTGTATGATGGGCAATGCGGTTTTCGACCAGCTGGAGGGTATGTCAACGATAAGCATACCCAGACCGATGCCGCACACGGCACCCAAAGCAAACACCAAGATGCCAATGAATTGCGAGCGAAAGCTTGCGCGTGGATTTGAGCGAAATTCCAGACCCAGGCAGAAGCCCATTACGAATTTGTGACACGCAACGGCGCCCAGCAGAAAGAGCACCTAGAATAGAAGCGAATAGACAAAGTACGAAATATTTACAACCGTGTATGCTCGCTTATCAAAATAAATATTTAGTGAGCAATCCCATGATTATCTCACTGGGAGCATAAACTAAATGATGTCAAGGTAATCTCTTATACCTTGGTGGCCGAGTTTTGCACACCAATAGCCAATCCCTCGATGGCCGAGTGCAAAGAGAGCGCCACAAAGAGTCCTAATGTCCCGGTCATGGATTGAGCACATGGCTCTGTGTGGCTGGTATGACAAATACGCGCATTTGCATCCTCAACGCTGACATCATCACATCCGGGAACGGGATTGTACATATGACCGTGATTATTATGATCATGACCGCTGTAAGCAAAGGCAATCAATGAAATTAATCGATTGATTAAATAAACCATTCATTTCTCTTATCATACTTTTCACCATGTCGATGATGATGAGTAGTATCGCTGCCTATTAATGGCGATCGTTCATTAGTTGCGCCATAGGCATTGTTGGAGCTTGGCGCGCTCGCTGCTGGAGTCACTGCATGCGTATGCTGAATGGCCTCGCCAAAGAAGTAGTGTATGAACTCGTCTATGAAATAAATGATGAAGAAGCCACCACACATCGCAACTTCTGCGAATTTCGAGTTCATTTGCTCACGTACCTAAGCAATCGCACATACAAACACACACAGATTCATATATGAATATAAAAAAAGTTATCAAATTGCACTCGATTACAGTTAGGTTTACCTCTGGCAAAATATGCACCAGCGCTGTAGCCAGCAAAATACCTGCACCGAAGCACAGCAGCAACGAGGTAGTCAATGGAAATCGCTGACGATTACGTTCTGATATTATGGCTGGCAGCATGCCGGATAGGAGGCTTCCAAGTCCTAGCACTAACATGGCTAAAACCTTTTCCATATCGCCACGATCGTCGGCTTGCCAGTTGGCTGTATTTGTGTCTGCTGAACTCATTATTCTGTCTCTAGTCTACGCAGTCATCAGCAAACAAAAAACTAAAATTGGAACGACTCGATGGGATGTTGAGTTGGCGTCGCGAGTTTTTAAAATAAAACAACCATTCGTATACATGGACGTTCAACGGACTACAAAACCCAACGACACAATGACGAATGTTATTGCTCTACGCTCATGTTGCTTTTTTTTTTATATATATATCGATAACTTTCCAATTCGCTGTCCAAGCAGTTCAGCTCATCGCTCAACTGCATTCTATTTGAATATAACATGTTAGCAAGTTGGCAGACTTCTGTAATTCAAAATTTGTATAAGCATTCCTAACTGCTTGTAAAGTAATGCATCAGATTCAAATTTAATGAGTTTACGAACAAGTCTTTAACGCAATTAATGGCAAGATTTAATACAAATTTATAATATTCATAGAAAAGAACGTGATCTTGAATAGATTTACGTTTTGAAATGTTTACGACACTTGTTTTTAAATATTTGATTTTCAAGTGATCTTCGACTATAAAGTCTAAATTAAATAATTTGCCCCCGCCCATCCAAAATTTTGTCTTTTGTGCCTTGTAATGGAACGTCGTTGCATCATATGTGGAGAGCAGCCAACATCCAAGTTCACGTACCCGCATACTTTGGAGCAAGCGCTCAAATGGCAAAATATGCTCGCTACCTTTGTGCCAGTAGAGACATTGATGCATAGCTGTTGTGTCTGCAATAAGCATGTCAATCGAAGGGAAGCTACTGTGCCAGAATCTCCCATTGATGAAGAACGATCTGTCACTTTCACCGATGCTAATGCCGTACATTACTTTAAAAATCAAAGGCCCGAAACTCAGTTGGATTGTGCACAAACAGACAATTTTAGTAAGCCACAAATTTGTTATCAAAGCAATTATAATGAACAATCAAGCGACCCGGTGTACGAAAAAGTGCGCATAAGATCGACTTCTGGTAGCGACTTAAACTTTCGATCGAAAAAACAACGTGCAGTCAAAAATGTAAACTCAAGTAAAAATCGGACGCAATCAAAAGGAGCCTCAACTAAGAAAGCCTGTCAATCACAGTGTAATCGATGTAGTCCTATAAAGAGTTCTGGACCCAATCAGACAATGCAAAGAAAACGAGAGAACTCTCCAGATAGACCGGGTAGGAACCCGCAGCTCGAATCGAATTCAAGCTCTTATGGCTATCCACCAAGGGTGTTCCCACAACGACAACAACAACTACAACAGCAGCAGCAGCATCAGCAGGAACATCAAATCTGTCCTGGACTGAGGAATTCTAATCACAACGTAAGCATACCAACGTGTAGCGAGAAATCATGTATGTGCGATCGTGGATTTAGGGAAAACTCCTGCGGAAATTTGAGCCAAATTAAAGCGGAAAATTCAAATATGAGTAACGCACCCTGTAGGCAGTGCTCTTTGATGGACACTGGCAGACGGCCACCGGTTAATGTTCTAATAATGGGTGGCTCCATGGTGCCTTCGTATTACAATAAGGATCTGCGTAAACGATCCTCAGATATTTCACAGATCCGTGTACTCGAGTCAGACATGACACGCGAGGGAGCTTTCTTTCCAGACATCGATGAGCCGAATTATTCAGTTTGCCGGCAGCCTGCAGAGAATGGTAAGAATGGAGCAGCGGACTCAACTGACGTACTATTGTTGGGCACAACGCCAGAGAAGAAATGCCCGTGTGCTGAGGCGGCTTCAGGTACAGGTCCAAAAACAAAACCTCCTGCAGCTATTCCCATTCAACAGGCAGAAAAAACGACTTCAGAATCAATTGATAAAAAAGGGGCAAAGCAGTTGGATGAGCTGGAATCGCTATTGGCCCAGCAACAACGGCTACAAAAGTCCATTCAGGCCAAGCTGAATGAGTTGCAGGCCAACACAAAAGTCGAAAAGGAGAGAGTCAATGCGGGCACAGCACAATCAAACTTCAATTGGCCGCCCTATGAAAGAGTGGCTCCAAGAGTTCGAGTTCTCAGATCGATGGCCAATTACAAATCATATTAAAGTGGGGGTAACATAGAACCTATGACCGATGGCCACCATCACATATATAAATACAAACATATTCAAATATTCACACAAACAATCTCATATAGCTATCATGACATTTAGGAAGCTACATTAAAACACAAAATATTCTTTGAGTAATATTTGAAAAAATTTTAAGTTAAATTTTGACCGTTCCAATGAACCGTCGCTGTGTAGTCTGCGGCAAAGAGTTTGCCAATGATGCCGTCGATTCCGCCTATCATTATCCTAAAAATGAGAAGGAAGCTCAGATTTGGCAGAAGAGTATGGGAGCCTTCGGTACCGCTGTGGAGAGTATTGAGAAATGTTGCTGTGTCTGCATTGAACACATACCCCAATTCGTGGAACGTACTCAGAAGGAGGCGTCACTCATTAAGGAGCAATACAAGGGGGATAAATGGATAATGCCACAGTTAAATCGGCCTTCGCTCCAGGTGCTTCTCCTGTCGGGTGCTACGCTGTCACCTTGTTTCGACATATCCAAATCAGGATGCAATGGCCATCAGGAGGATGGCTTAGACGAAGAAATCTTCGTGAGTGAATCCAGCTATAAGGATTGTGGTCTCCCCTTGCCCGACATTGAGGTCCCCGAAGCGACTGTGCTGTCCATGCACAACGAAAATATGGCAAAAAACAATCTGCAATGCGGAGATACTAGTTGCCTATGCAATTGCACGGATGTCTTGTTGCTGGGACGCAGCCAAAAGCATCCATGCAAATGCGAGGCATCTCCCCAAAAGCCGCAGACAGAGAACGTTATGGAGTGCAACGGCGTAGAGTGTCAATGCCAGATGCGCATGCAGATGGGTGAAATAATCAAACAGCAACAACAGCGCATCGTCGAGCTAGAGAGTATGATCTGTCGACAGAATGAATGGTATATAGCGTTACAGCAGAAGATGAATGAGTTATATGCAAATTTTGACCTCATAGACCAGAGCGAGTCAGCCAACTGCAGTCAAAATCATAATCCATGCCAAGAACAATTACTAAGTTCAAGTGTCAAGTCTGAACACGTAATAACTTCCAACAGAAAAGGATTTAGGTGTCCAAGTAATAACATGCAGCCAGAACCGTCAGAGTGACAGATGGTATCGTCTTATCCTATACAGTGTACATAATAGTCTTCGATTGGATTGAACTGATAATAAATAAACATGTCTAACAATAGCTGGAAATGTTTTAAATTATCCTCAACAGGTTTATTCGCTATTACACGCCGGACACTGAATCTTTAAGCTTAAGCGGCGGATTGAATGACGTCTGTGTAGAGTTTCACTTTGGTGGCAATGCTCATGTCGACATATTTGTCGCCAATGGACACGATCAGTCCACCAATAATGCTGGGATCCACGCGAGAGGTGATCTTCAGCGACTGGTTGGGCTTCAGGAAAGACTGGAAAGAAAAAGTATTTAGTTTCGCTACATATTGAATACTGATGTTTTTACCTTGAGGGCACCCTCCAATTGCTTGTTCTGTCCAGCATCTAGAGGCTTGGCCGAGATAACTTCGCAGACAACCTCACCACGGTGAGCAGCCATAATGGTCTTGAAGGCACTGATAACTGTGTCCAACTTCTTCAAGCGTCCATTATCAGCCAAAAGACCCAACAAATTGGCTGTGGCTGGTGCAAATTTCAGCTTTGCGGCAGCTTCTTTAAGAGCAGTGGCCATTACCTTCTTGTTGATGATGGGGCTAGTGACTTGTTCGCGCAGCTTCTTGTCGGCCTTAATGGTCGACTGCAGAGCGGTCAAATCCTTTTCCACCTGATCCAATTGGCTCAATTTGGTGGCCGCCGAATACAGAGCGGTGGCATAACGGCCCTCCAATCCGAACAATTGGATTGGTGGCTTCACCACCTGCTGGGCAGCAGCGGAGCTGAGTGAGCGGCTCTGCAAGCAAACCAAATCCCATTATTAAAACATCATCTCTTAAAATCGCAATCAAATTTTGGTTATTGGTTAAAATTGCAAATTACATAACCAAGAAATCCGAGTTAGATAATTGTTTTCGTTTTAATACCATAGCTGGCTTCCACTACAAACACAATTTTACCGTTGCAACATATGCAAGGTAGTACATTTTACATCATTTATATAAAACCTACCAAAAGTGCTAATTTGTTAATAGAGGCCATTGCTTATTCCTTGCAAATACTTTTCCACCTAAATCTCGCAGCTGCGGCGTGCAGGGTTGATTCGACTGGGCAATATTAGAGTTGCCACGGTGTCCCTTTTTACCACAGCGGCATTGAGTATTCCGATAACGATAACCTGGCCATCGCTGAATCGGTAAGAATTAAAAATGCAATCGTTTTTAGATTCACGTCTTTATTTGTATTTTAAAAAACTGCTGTTTGTAGATGGGTTTTTCAGAAATACGTATTCATTTTACTTAATAAGTAACTATATAACTGTCTAAAATGGTATTTGCAATGCTCACGTAAAAGTTAAAATCATGTTTACGTCTTTATACTCCCATTCCGACATAACCATACATAAGATAATAGTTGTAAGTGGTTACCACATTGGGAAATTGGAAAAATCAAATTGCATATAGGTATTGATTTAAGGATTTACTTGTCATCTGAAAAAAAAATCTGATAAGTAACTCTTTAAATAGTCATCTGTAGCAACTCACCTTCATCTTCAAGGTCTTCGTCGCCTTCATCCTCTCCATCTTCATCATCGAAAGCTTCTTCTTCGTTGTCTTCATTTTCATCTTCATCCTCGGGTTCCACCTCAATATCAGGTACGAGATAATACTGGAGTGGATTTGGCCAAAGATCATCCTTTATCAGTTCAGCAATCTCGTCGTTGACGGGGTCAGCATTGTCCGAAAACCAATCGAAGAATGTCTTATAATCGGAATTCCGTTTCTTCTTATTGCCATAAGGTTTCGTTAGCAACTGTTTAAGTAAATTCTTGCCCTCTTTCCATTGAATGGGCGTGCTCGTAGACGCGGGCCAATCACCATTTTCAGAGGCAGCTTTAATAATTCAAAAGAGATTACCATGATATATAAGTGAAATAACATTATATGCAATTACACATACCCGCTGAATTCAAATGAAACTCTTTGGTAAGAACCTTGTTTTCAAAGTACGGATTTTCATCGAAATGGAAATTTATGCGGTATCCTGATTTTATATCTTCGAATTCCTCAACTTCCAATTTATTTAGCGCATGCAGACACTCTTCCTCTTCTTCGTCCAGAATGCCAGATACTTGCGGGTGATTGATAAACTAAAGACAATTGGAAATTTAAATTAGATATATGCTATCCATTTGATGGTACTCAAGAATACAAAGTTAAAAGTAATCTAATCTAAGTGTACAACATACATTTGAGTAATAAATTGTCTACAATATGAATATACATTTATGTACTGCAATTAACCTGTTTATGGAAATAAGCTAAACAACAAACCGGTAAAGAATAATTGCTCAAAACGATTAATTTAATTTAGAGGGTAAGAAATGTTCGGCTTCAACGCAGACATTTATCGATATATTCGTACACTCACAGGCACACGCACACATAGGCAAAAAAAGAGCGGTGCGACCGGTGGCGGCGGCATGCATAGAAGACTAAGATGAAAAAGAACAAACGAAAAAAGTTCCTCGAATAGAGAAATTTTTCTTGCACATGTAGTAGAGACACAAAATCAATTAATGTTGCCTTTTTGTCTTTAAAATGCTGTGCACGCATTAGTACTTCGGGATATGGGGCTCTACAGAAAAATTAACATTTCCTCTTGCTAAACATGCAAATCATGGCCGCTTAGGCGGATTCGCTCGATCACTACTACGCAAATGCTAAAACTTACAGAAGTAACCCAAAAGTTGGGGATTCGTTTGACAAGTTCACTGCGCTTTTCGTAACAGGGCTTCCGCAGTTTGTTATATTTTTGCTCCACTTTCAGTATCTCTTCACTGGCTTTCTCGTTAAGCGCGTCAATTTCGTTTTGACAAGCATCGATTAGTTCCAGCGCCTCCGACTCCTCCTCGTTAGCACCGGCAGATGTATTTCCATCGGCGGCAGCATCCAACTTTTGTCGCTTTGGCACGCTCGACATATTGCTGGCTTTGTTTTAAATGGAGCGGCAAAGGGGAGACCAAGACTTGGATTGATGATATTGTTGTAAAAAGCTATTAGTTTATCTAGTACAGTTGAGCTGAACTCGATTTAATACACTTAATGCGCGCCGTCCTCCCGGTTTGCGAATTCTGCTCTAAGTGTGGCCGAATATTTAAATCGTGAATATGCTGTGCGGCAGGGTTGCCTTGATTCTTTACCAAAAAAAATATCGACCACTAGAACCATGCCTTGCAAGCATTGAATAAAATGAACACACATTTGTTAGCTTATTTAATGATACCATATATTTCTTAAGAGAAAAGAAATTAATAGTGGATTTGAAATAATAATATATTTAGTTCTAGTTCCGGTTCCAAAATACTCAGTACAGTGTCTGAGCATTAACAACACTTAAAAGATTACAAGGCATTTTCGGTCCTTTACAACACGCGCGGACAATATTTAATGTCGAGGTGTAAACGAGCTGGCCCATTAATTTTTTAATTTTATATAGAAATCGTTTTTAAAAATATTAAAAACATGGCCACGGCTGAAGCTCAAGTCAACGTAAACACAAATTTGCAAAAGCAGGACCTTAGCAATTTGGTGAGTGTGCAGGAATATACGCCGAAAATATCCAGCTCCGGTTCGATGCCTCGCGTCCGTTCGTGTAGACGCTGCATCTAAAAACATTAGGGCACCGCGGCCATTTGTATATGAAAAAGTGTATTCGTTGAAGTTGGGACTGACTAAGACTAACTTTGATCAAACATAGTTATGTATTATCGTTTTACATAAATTGCTTTTGTTGCTCTTTTTCGGTGTGCAGTCGACCTCAAAAGAATGCAGCACGTGGCGGTGCCTGCTACGTTTCGCTAGCATTGGTGGGGGTTTTTTGCCTTGTGAGTTGTTTGGCATATGTTTGCAATATGCTTGGTTAATGTTCTAAAACTTAATGATAGCATTAGATATGCGGCTCAACTGTTGCTACAATATCTGATGCAATATTCAGTTGAATCTAACCTCAAAATATACGGCTTTTTCTACGCACACTCATGCCAGTGTGTATATTTGTGTGCGTATACAGATGTATGCGTGTGTCAGTTTGTAAGGCGGTTTAGGGCGTGTTGTGAAAGTTCAATGGTTTGGTATAATATTTACGATAATTAATCTATTATTTGCATTGTTTTTGCAGGAAATAAGCAATCTAACACCACTATCGCCGGAGGTGATCTCTCGCCAGGCCACCATCAACATTGGCACAATCGGCCATGTAGCGCACGGTAAATCCACGGTTGTCAAAGCCATCTCCGGGGTGCAGACTGTGCGTTTTAAAAATGAATTGGAACGAAATATTACAATAAAGCTCGGTGAGTGACATAGTTCCATCTCTTATATACTCGAATCATAATACTAAAATGACACTTGCTAGTGAAATTATGATTGCGCGTAGCGCAATATTGCAAATACCAAATTGGGTAAATTCCTTAAGCGTGTCATTTTAGCTTAGTTTTTGTTATTATTCTTAATTCATAAGTTTAACTTTAGGCTTATCGCCTTAGGCAAAGATTATTCCGTTTTATGATTGATTCATAAAACTTAATATTTCCTTGTTCTATTAACTAAATTACTAAACATAAACCCAACTAATGTTGACGACGGCACAAAGCGCAGATTATTCAAATCTATTCCAGTTTTCATTTTCGCAAAGAAAATTGAGAATTGTGAATAAATCGGGATTTATTTTTTCGGAAACCTTTAATTTTAATTTTACACAATGTGAAAAACAATAATTATAATAGATATATTTTTGGCTTCTAAATTACCTGCAAATTAATCTATTAATATTAAATGTATTAAAATGGGAAAATAATGCATTTTAAATTTGTTTAAAAATGCATGGAATAAAATGTTTGGCTTATCAAATCTGAAACTTGGAAGTAGTAATTTGTCAAAACCCAAATTACTTTATATATTCTAAGTTATTTTTGTTTTTGCCTTTGTTTGCAATTTTTTCGTCACACAAATCGTGTATAATTTCTAGTTTTAAGTGTCGTGATCGATGTTTTTGGATCGATGTACTGAGCGTTCTGTAAATGATTGATAAATGTGATATCTTTAAATATGACATAAATTGCTGGATTAGTCCCCCAACAATAWATAAATACAACACACGCACTGTGTCGTCGCCTTTGTAGTTTGGATTAGCTTTGGATTAACAGTCGACTATTGGCTAATATAAAAATTTTTTTCTTTCCTTGTACTTCGTATACATTTTAAATTTATCTATAGTTTGATAGTTTCTTAGAGCTTTGCCAAATTTAATTTCATTGTTTTCGATTAATCCAGCAATTGTAATTAATTCAGTCCATCTTTTTCTTCTTCTTTTTCTTCGTTTTTCGTTTGACCAAACGACGCTCGTTAAATCAAAACCAAAAAATAAAAATAAATAAATAAATAAAATAACAAAAATCGTACCAATACCAAAATCATTTGCAGAACGCTTAAGCGAAATGAAAATCCAAAAACTTCTGAAATCCAAACAGCAGCGCGATGCATACGACTTGAAACAGCGCCAGAAGCTGAAACAACTACTCAAGCAACGTCGACAGGCGTCCAAAAGCAGACAGCAGGAGAATATCATTGTTCCTTACACTCGAACCAGGCGAAGCATCAGCCAAGTCTCACTCAGTCCCAGTCACAGTAGCGGGTATGGTAGCGTCATCGGCCACGACGAGCACGACACATTGCCCGTGCCCATAAATCAGGACGACAATTTAACGGTAAATAGACGGAAGCGGTGCCGTAGCTCTAACGACCTTCAAAATGAGCACTCATCATCGCCGGCCTTAAAGCGACCCAAAAAGACACCAAAGGGCGAGTACTTTGTGGAGGCCATTGAGCGCGTTGAGGTGATGCACAACGAGCCTATCTTCTATGTGAAATGGCTAGGCTATGATAGCAGCGAAAATACTTGGGAGACATTTGAGAACCTAGCGGACTGTGTTCAGCTGGAGGATTTTGTGGATCGGCAGACACAATTGTATGAGCCCTACATAAAAAAAATTACTAGCAAACTGGAGGCAGAACTGGTGACAGCCACTCCACTCGACTTGAGCAGTATTAATATAAC